TGCTTGAGTATTGGTTTCAACGATATTGCGGTTCGGGTCTCTTTCTTATTTCAACAAAACGGTTCGGCTATGGTCGAATAACAACCTTTATATATTTTTTTAAAAAATAAATACCTTAACATAAATTATACTCATATATTTTATTATCCGACTCACTAACGTAACTCATTTAATTACCATCGTATTCTAAGTGCAAGTTATTCCAAATTTATAAACCCAAAAATACATACAATGTGAATTGTTGAATTCTCCTAAGCTCGTCCAATAATTATTATACCATGTCACAATTGCATTATCAACACTGCAGATACGATTTACGAATGGGTGTATGAGATATTTGAAAGTACGAGTGTGGTAAAAGGACATGGATTCACCATGGTAAATCACCTTAATTCACGTGATACTTTTTTTGACAATGACAATGCAATGGCAATGACACACTTCCTCATGATTCAAATATTGTTGACAATGACAACTCAATGCTAAAGGTCATGGGAAGTAAGCATGTCATTCGGCAATGGTAATAATGGTAATAAAGTGTCGGAGGACGTACTATTCAGCGTGTTGAACACCACTGAACTTATCCAACTGATGGTACTAGTCAATCAGTGATTTGACAATGAGCAGTGAACCATCAGAGAGTTGGCTTTTGCCAGCTTCGATTGTCGTGACATGTTTGGCCCCTATGAACTTGTTTGGCCCCTATGACCTTACTTCTTGTAGAAATATTTATTTAGTTAATTAGACGGACATAGAAACACCGTACCCTTTTTTCTCTTTTCTTCATTCCCACCATGGAGCCTAACCAAGAAGTGTCTTACCCACTTGGATTCTTCGCGGCTACGGCGACTGATAACACCAAACACTATTTCAAGTACAACACGAACCATGTACAAGAAATGAACTTCAATGACTATGTCTATTTTCATAACCAAACAGGAAAATTAACCTTGCATGTCGTTGAATACGATATTCTGAGGAAAACTGTCGCCAACCCTAAAGAAGAGCAACACCGCATGGACAGGTTGATGATAGTCAATGAGGATGGTGAGATTTTCCCGGCTCCACTTACCCAACATTGATGATGTCGTAGGTAAATCGGAGGTGCAAGCTGCCATTCGTGAGCTGGAAAAGGATGATAATGTCGAGTACGAGGGTACAACCAAAATCATTTCGAAATTCTTGATGGACAAGATAGACCCAAAGCCAATAATACCAACGAGTGGCCCTATATACTCCCTTGGAGTGGCTGGGGGCTTCAAAACGGAATTCGGCAGCTACACGGATGATGTTCTGTTCTTGCAGGTAAAATACATACGTACACTCGTCTCGTCTAATTTTACCGTAATTTTTTGCTGCAATATGACCTAATTTAATCTTTTGGGCTTGAGACGTAAATTTAAGTTAATTTACTTGATACCAATTTTTGTTCCATTATCGATTACTGGGGTTTTGAGCAAAATATAACATTTCAGTTTGGATGGTAGTTCGACCTTCGAAGTAGACTGATTTAGCCAAATGTAGTCGGGTTGCTTGATTAATTCTATTGTTGGTTGCGTAATTTTTCAATGATATATTTTTGGTTAAGTGAATCAATTCGCAGTTTTTAAGTTAATTATAATAATTTCAAGCGTTTAAATAATGTTAAAGTTTTTGAAGGATCAACAAAGTAGCGGAGCTTGTCGAAAATTATAAATCTCAAGGTCTTGCAATTAGTTTCAAGGCCGAATAAGCTAATTCACTTATCAGAGTAAAGGCTTTGAAATTTACTTAAAGACTTAAAAAACAAACTTTAAAACTTAGGCAGAATATAACTTGCGAATTAAAACAGAAAAAAAAAAAGCAAATAAAGTAAAACAAAAATTAAAGCAAGTAAGTAAAGTCCACTTTGCATAGTCCAAGCACAACCTGTAAGCTCATAATATAACATATTGCAACATGGGTTTGACTTCCATCATTCATAAATAAACAAAAACATTAAGGCCCATCAAGGTGGAGTCTTCAGTTATCATGACTCGTGATTGTGATAAACGATGATAAGTGGCCCAATCATCCGATAATGTTTGATAAAATAACTTTGAACCATGATGGCATGATTTTCTATGTTTAACAAGATTTCCGAGTTCAGGGACTTTAACATAATTTGCTCAACATCTGTTTAGGTGAGGTCTCCTATCACGGAGATCAATTATTCCGTGTCTAGGGACCAGTTCATCCCAGATGACTTAACAAGCCGCTACCAATTTGTCGCCCTTCGTCCGGAGCTAGATGGTAACGATAAAAAATTGGACATTGGAGCTGCTATTGTGCTTTGGAATGGCCAGAGGATCACCCGGCCTTCCTTTATCAACCACTTTGAACAAATTGTTGCAACCCATAACCCAATTCTGATGATAGTGACAGAGGTGGGGGCAACGTCCACCAATTGTGAAAGGATTCTAGCAAAACTAGGCACAACTATGTCCTGGCAGCATGACGCGGGTGGAGGCTTGCTTGGAGGGACCGTGGTGTTTTACGATCCTCATAGGGTGGGTTCGACCATGCTGATAGCTGCTGATGACTCGAATGATGACCGTATTTGGGCACCGGTAAAGCATTTGAGGTTGAACTCCCTCAATGTTGTTTAAAAAATCATATTATTAGGTTACTTAATTAACTCACTAATCCTTTAATTTGAATGTAGGAAACAGGTTTCTAGTTACGGTGAAGACTAGTACCAAGTGCAACTGCTTGCTGATGGTGAAGGATGTTGTGTCTGGTGAGAAGATATGTATTGCTACTCGAAGTATGTGTCTTGTAGGACTATGGTATGTGCTGTTTAAACTTGATCGGTTTTAGTGAATTAATCAGAATTTGTAGTGTGCTATGCTATGATGAAATGATGTTTTTGTTAAACAAACAGGAACCGCTTTAAGTTCAATATTCTGCGCTGCAATTTCAAAGTCTCGTTTTTAAAAAGTGAATCAGTTTATTCGGCCTTGAAAATGATCTGAAGGCGTTGAGATTTGTGGGATCTTGTTTGAGTCGTCTTAATGTATGACTAAATAAGATTAAAATTGTGCGTTGGCAAACTTCATTAAAGAAACGTGTCATCTTATTAGGAACGGATGAAGTATGAATGAAGCCACTTATTTGGAACTCTTTAACACATTCCAATCAGTTACATTTCTTTGTTATATCACTGTGAATTCGTTTATATCAACTATTTACTTGATTAATAGGGAAGTGATTCGACGTCTTCCTATGCACGTATAAAAATGCAAATGATACAATATAAATATATCAATTCCTTTACATGAATCATTCACGTGTTTAAAAGATTTAATCTAACAACTTCCTGAGTATTTAATAATCTGTCCCTTAGGCAAGTTTACATAAGATTACTTTACGTATCAAGAATATTTAATCTAACAACTTCCCGGATATTTAATAATCTTATGAAGTGATAAAGAAATACTCTGTATTAATTTATAATTACTACTAATCTAAAAGACTTAAATTTAGGATTGTCGTTGATGATCTTAGTATACCCTACGATACTAATCCTTCCTTCAGCTTAAATCTGACAAATGGGACAAATCTTAGGAAAGGTAACCTAATTATCAAACTCTTAAGAAAAAAAAAACCAAAGAATATGGAAAGGTTTTGAAAATAGAAAATGGAAAGATTTGAAAAAACAAGATTATAGTAGTAAAAATGAAAAGCTGGCATCGAAAATCTAAGCATTAAAATCTAATTGTCAAACTCTTAAGACAAAAAAACCAAAGTATATGGAAAGGTTTTGAGAATAAAAAAAAAGAAAAAGAAAATGGAAAGATTTAAAAAAACAAAATTAAAAAAAAATGTTGGGGAATCGAAAATCTAAGCATTAAAATCTGGCATCGGAAATCGAAACGACATCATTTACTTCAGCAGATTGGCGGAAAGTTTAATGGCTTTCCATATTCTATCCCCCGTTTTATTTCGTCTTCCTCACCAATTCACTTTTCAAAAAAGATCATACTTGTTTCAAAGAGAAAAAAAAAATAAAAAAAAAAAAATAAAACTCTTCCTACCCTCTTCAGGCATCGCCATTAATGTGGGATTGTGCTAGAGAATCTAAGCAAGACCAACTAAAAAAACTGAATTCTCCTGAAGGTATATTCCTATTTTTTGTTCCTCCTCAATTCGCCATTAATGGTTTTGGGTACAGAGTTATCGTTTTTTTTTCCGTTTTTTCTTTTTTATATTTTGGTTTTGCTTATTTCTCTACATGTGTTATATTGTGTATGGTATTTTCCTGTTTTTTGTCTTGATCTTCCCCATTTCGCCATAAACGGGGTTAAAGGTATTGAATTATGGGGCTTTTGATTTACGGCCAATTTTTTTTATAATTTTTTTATTTTTTTTAATGGTTCTTTGTTGTTGTGGGTGGCTGATCCTGATCATGACTTTATAAATTATTTTGGGGGAATTGTCTAGGGAAATGGCTGATCAAGCTTATTTTTCTTCATGTTCTATATTATGTCTGGTATATTCCTGTTTTTTGTCTTGATCCTCCTCATTTCGCCATTACTGGGGTTTGAAGGTACTTAAATACGAGGTTTTGGTTTTTATTTTTCCATGTATGGACGCTTTATCAAATGCCCACCCCATCTTCAGCAACCCTGACCTCCTTTGCATCCACATCTTCTCCAAGGTTGACTGGCTGAGTCGGGGGAATGTAAAGCAGGTCTGCAAGAAGTGGAGGCTGTGTTGGCGCACTCATCACTTGGCCAACCTCCAACCTTTTCATGGGCCCATGGCCTCCGTCAATGAGTGGGTTCTCAATGATCTCATCTACGACAACGGTCGGGATCTCCATGCTTGGCTCAATAAGGATATGACTGCTTACTTTGATGGGTTTTTGTTACTCTTCAAGGAGCAGTAGGTTGTCATGGGAGGCTGTGGTGGCGCACTCGTATGTTGTCATATTTTGTCATGTATTTAGATGTCTTCCTCTGCTGCTTCTCTTTTGCCTCCTATTCTCTATCTTCACCTTCTATAAGAGGTTCATTCAAGTCATCATCTAGCTGTAAAGTCTCTTCTTCCTCCCCTTCCTAAATACAGTGGAAAATGAAGATGACTGGGCTATAGCAATATCATGAAACAAGAATTAGATCATATAGTAGAGCTTGTTGGTTTGTGTTGTGAGAAGCTGCTAATGTAAAGCGTTTTTCTAAGTTTATTATGAATTTTAGTCACAATTCACTGATCATCTTTTGGGGTTTGTCACTAATTGAACATTTGTAATGGAGCCACTTTCTAACAACATCACATTGTTGATTTCACATGTTTCAAATGCTTACAATCACATTTTAGTTTAACTCACTAGTTTTACAACCTTTGAATTGAATCTCAAAGCTTTGAATTGAATCAATTTATTCAATCTTTTGCCTTGAAACTGATCTCAAGATCCTGAGATTTGTATTTGTCATACTCAAACAAAATCAGTCTTTTCAAACAGATAACCGGTCTTCATATCCTCCCGTAAAATCTGTTTCTTCTATGCTCAGAGTCTTCATATTTAACCATGAGTCTGCATTCAGAACACATTAATTTAAAGGCGGTAACCAATATGGAATCACCAATCACACTAATATTCAAGTAAATGATAGTACCTTTGCTGCAGCAAACTTAAATGGTCACTCATCGGCCATTAGTTCATCAAGACGTTTCTGCTTCACCTGTGAGGTCCGATGTGCAGCAAACTTAAATGGTCACTCACCGGCCATTAGTTAAATGTGATATAAATAATCACTGAAGTAGAATGACATAAATTTGGTCTTCATACTTACAAGTAGCTTGCGAGAAGACGTTTTTGCCTTCTCCTTGATTGGAATGCCCTTCCCCTTTGCCTTCTCTTTGTCTTACCTGGTTCTGCCATTCCTGCCTTTTCCTGCATCCTCCTCAACACCATTTCCTGCAACACCATTTCTTCCTCAACACCATTTCCTGAATCCTCCTCAACACCGTTTCCTGCAACCTCCTCGACACCATTTCCTGCATCCTCCTCAACATCAACATCATCTCATGCATCCTATATGATATAGATATAACAGCAGTCAGAGAGTGAATAAAATAATAAGGATAAGCAGTTATGGAACAAAGAACAAAGCATAAATCTTAACAGGACTAGGCTTCTTATTCTTGTTGATTTTCTTGTAGCCAGTTTTAGCTAACGTTTTGTGCCTTGAACCCTAAGGCATGCCCCTTTTCCTTTTGTTAATTATAGGGTCTTTGATAACAGGGTCCATGGCAGCTGGACAGGGGTCTCCGGGCTCTGCAGGAGCAGTAGGAGCAGGATTCCTAACTGAGGAAATCGTTTTGTCTTCACCTGCTGATGACAGTGTACTAACTATAGGAACATTCTCCTGACTCTTCTTGTCCCTACGGTCATTAACAGCTAATTGAAGCTTCGACAGTGTTTCCATTACCATATGGACCGTTTGATCATCCACCATGGCAGCGGTTTCACATAAGGGCTCGAATTTTCCCATCATTTTGTTGAATCTCTTCACAGTGACCGTGTCCCCCGGATCATGGTAGGCCACCTTCACCCTACTGTGCTTCTGGGGTATGTCCTTCCGCCAACGGGCTACTATGTACTTCTCTGGAAAATCTTCAACCAAGTTTTCATCGAGAATCCTAATACAGTGTTTGCAAAGTATGCCACTTGTCTCAAACTTCCTATAGTCACACTGCACCTCCTTTGTCATTGGAAAAAAAGTAACATTGTAGGTTCTTCGCCTATCTGTAATGACATCCTCACTAGCACCGGGAGGTACTATCCATACACGATCGATCACCGAATACTGAATAAGGTTTTCAAACAAAACCTTCTCTCCTCGAACGTTGCAATACATCATTCTCGTACACTCCTTTTGAACTTCTTGAAACTTGTTGTCCGTGTATAACTTTTGAAATATTTTTTCTACTTTGAAGCCACTAACCAACCTCCTAAGGTACTTCGAGCAACGCTCATCTGCACTCACTTCATCTCGAACGCGTTGATCCAAGGCCATGCAATACTTTTGAGGAAACTCATGTAGTTTGGTTTTGCGGTTAACATAGCCATCGAAAAACCGATTGATGCTCTCCACCCTTTGTGTGGTCTTCATACCAGCCCAAAAAAACTCTTTCATGTAAGCAGGCACCCACATACGACTCTCTTTGTGTAGACTCTGTAGCCATTTGTTGTCCTCCAACTTATACTCAGCTATAAACTCTGCCTATCGGGTATGGAACTCCTCGGGGTCAAAGCTCTCATACACCAGCTCTTTGAGGGGGTTCATGAACTCTTAGTAACTAGACAAAAATGAGCAACGTTAGAGTACATAACAGCAGAACAGCAGTTTAACTCGCAATTTTACAATCTGTTGAAAAGTCAAAAGCATGTTTATCAGCTTTGACTTGAATTTCAAAGCCTCTGTTTTTAATAAGTGAATTAGTTTATTCTTCCTATGATACTGACCTCAAGACCTTGAGATTTGCGAAAAGTTGTCATCCTCTCCTATTCAACCCCCGCCCCCCTTGTGCAGATTTGTATAACATAGCAAATTTAAATTTATGTGCAGATTTGTATAACAAGGAAGGAGAAATATCACAACATACCGTGCACACTTGCCAAGTTTCTCAGGGATCTTGCTCATGATATGCCATATGCACCAACGATGAACCGTGTTTGGCATGACTTCAGCTAGGGGCCTCCGCATAGCTGCCGCTTGGTCGGTCAAAATGGCTTTAGGAGCTCGGTTATTCATGCAAGCTAGCCACTGTCGAAATATCCACGCAAACGTATCGCAGTCTTCATGTGAAACAAGAGCACATCCCAACAACAACGATTGCCCATGGTGGTTCACACCAACAAATTTCGCAAATGGGAGCTCGTACTCATTTGTTAGGTATGTTGCGTCAAAGCAAACCGCATCACCAAAGTCCTCATAAGCTACCCTACTTCTTGCATCCACCCACAACACATCCTTAAGCCCCCCTTCTTCATCCAAACGTTGAGCTTGGAAAAAAATTTGGTTGCCGGATTGCATTTTTTCAAAGTACTCCATCATTGCCACCGAGTCCCCTCCAACCATCTTCAACCGCCTAGCCTTGTACACCTCATGTTATAAATCTTTGACGGTGAGAGCCATGTTACCGTTTCGTTCGGTCGCCATGCAACCGTGTATTTGAGAAATTGGTACACCTTGCTCATAGAAATCCATCAGCTTCTTCTTCACTTTTGAGTTCATTTGCTTCATGCGGTACTCCTTCACAAGCTTAGAATTTTCCGGATCAATCTTGTGATTATGCTTTAAGTGCACAGTCTTCAACACCTACATGCCATCTTCATTCACTTTAGAATAAACACAGGCCTCACATTCACACTTTTTCGAAGTCCTCTTCCTACGACTTAACTCATCCTCACATACCACCCCATCAACTAAACCACCTGAACCTCCAACACCCATTGCCTTTGCCCTCTTCTTCGCTTCCCTCCTAGCCCTCATGTCGGGTTTACCCCAACACTCACACATCCACGTGCTTGCCATTCTTTGTTTGTCCGCCGTCTTAGAATTTACGCCTTGAACCCTTGACACTCCAAACCCCATCTGCTCAGCATACTCCTTATAGTAGGCTTCAACCTCTTGCCAAGACTTGAAAACCATCCCTTCCTTAGGCTCCTCAACAATTACACACATTTCGTTGCTACCAACCACAGTGTGAGTCGTATGAATTGTTTTCACGAGGGATAAATACCTAACATTCACATTCATGTCAACTGCACCTATACCAACTATACCAACACCCTCATCACAACTATCTGCAACAACTATGTCTTTTATACCCTCCATATCATTGCCCTCCTCCTCCTCCATATCAACGTTACTCCTAAACTTGAAGACACTGCCACAATCACCAACACCAACCTCACTGCCCCTAATAACGCCTTCAGTTTTCATTTCCATAATATCTGTCATAATACCAGTCTTCTCCATCAAAAACAATTCACCCTTCAAATACAGAACACCAACATAATTACAATACAAATTAATACAGAACACCAACATAATTACAATACAAATTAAACCAGTTAATCAACCAACGAACACGTTTTCACAACACAAATTCAACCCAACACAGAAATACAACCAACCAACACAAATCAACCAACCAATTGAACAACCAACAAAGTAATACAACCAATTTTCAAAAATGAACAGAGGGATTTGTTTCGAAGCATACGAAGACAACACATTATCAAAAAGTATAAATTGCATTTTCAACAAAATCATTCGGCCATTTTCCAGCAACCTCAAACCACCCATTTTAACAGAGCCTCAATTTATTGAAATGTTGCCACATCAAAACCCTAGAACAGAACAAAACTCACGACTGGAAGAAGCGACGAAGAAAGAGAACAGAAAACTACCTACTAATTCAACTGGGTCTGGAAATTGGGTCTGGAAGCTGTTCAACTCGAAGATGTGTGAAGATGGTGTGCAGATGTGATGTGTGAAGATGTGTGAATATTTTCCCGCCTAACCTCAAGAACACCATCCGTTAAACAGATTGACACAAGGATGTCCCCACTCAGCACACTCAGCAAATTGACACATAGGCGAATCCGAGTCAGCAACCTAGGAAGTGAAAAACATCAATTTAATTTCAGAAATGCCATTATAAGAAACGCTTATGTTTCTCACAATGAGAAACAGAGATTTTCCCTTATTTAGCTTGTTGAATATAAAGAAGGTTTTAAAAATAGAATGGATTAATTAATGAGTATGAAATGAAGTGCTACTTTGGTGGAGTCTTTATAAGGCTGGGGTCTAGATTATGTAACAACCCAATTATTGTGAATAACAATAAAAAATTAAACAATTACTCACGAATAAAAGGAGGATGAACAATTTATATAAAAAAAAATTCTCAAGGTTTCCTTTTGGTTAACATATTTTCATCAATAGAAGAATTAAATGAAATAACCAAAATCAAATGTGAGAAGAATTTCATACAATGATGGAGTGGATCTGTTGCATTTTGATATTTAAATTTTACTGTATTTTTTTCAAGGGAGTCCCACTTCCTTATTATGAGAAACACTTTTGTTTCTCATAATGGCATTTTGGAAAATAATGTGATATTTTTCACTGGTGGGGATCGCGTATGTGTCATAAGTGGAAGCCCCAGATCTTGACACATACTCCATGAGAAACAAACTTGTTTCTCACATTGAGAAACAGAGAATTACCCTTTTTTTTCTACCCACTTTTACTTTATTCCACTTTGATAAATGTCTTTTTTATGTTACTCTTTCTCTATTTCGTAACTTATCCACCTTTCTAATCTGCTTGTTTTACTCTCCTTTGTAACAAATCAAACCACATTTTGATGTAATCCCCTGAATCCCTGATCATGCCAAACAAGGTCAAACCAGTAATATTGCCTACATTAAGAAATACTAGCTTGCAATAGTTTTAATGGCATGATATGGGTGTTTTGTCTTTCAAATGATAAATAAATATGAAAGTGCGCAAGAATAAAAGCCATATAGGCCATTTTGGCCCCAAATGCTCCCAAAACATAGTAACTTGGCATATTTAAGAAGTTTTTTCATAATCAAGTATGATTACATAATAGAGGTGTTATTTCATTCATTTGGTTAAATACATGAAAAATGGGAAATATAAAAGTCACTTTGCTCATTATGGGATCAATTGGGTCTTAAATTGTCCCAAAACTTAGTGATTGGCATAATTATGTAGTTTCAAATCATAGATTTTTATAAATAAGAACATTAGACATGATAGGAGTGTTTTTCATTTATTTGGTTAAATACACAAAAAATGAGTAACATAGAAATCATTTTGGGATTTTAACTTGTATATTTATGGAATCAAGTCATGGAAATTCTATTGTCAAAAAAAAAATTAAAAAAAGTCATGGAAATTGAAAATTAAATATTTTGCCTGATTTGTGCACCCGGGTTCACCATGCGCATGATGCACCCGGGCTCACCATGCGCATGCTGCACCCAGTTAAACAAAAAAACAGTGGAAAGAACTTACCTGTATTTGACAAAGAACATACATGTGTTTGACAAAGAACATGTTTGTGTGTGACAAAGAACATGTCATTACCAAAAAACCTATTCACCTCTGCTCTCCTCTTCTCTTCTAGAGTTTCTCCAAACTCTTGGCCATTTAGGCCGGAGATAGTCTAATTTCTTCATAAATTAGACTATTTCTGACCCTTTTCCCTTGATTTTCTTCAGTTTTGCAATTTAGTTTTCAATAAATCTAAACCCTATGGTGGAGTCGTTAGTTTTTGTTCGTTTTGTTGTTTGTTTTTGTTTAGGTTTTTTGTGTGTTAGGGTTTATAAAAAGGTAGTCATCTTTGCCCTATTATCAGTTTGTTGGTAAAGAGTTGTCCGAGATCGCAATAGTTGTCAAATCTTCAATGGCGCTCAAGTGAATCAGATGAAAATCATCCTTACGGCTACAACAAATCGTTAGACCGTCTTTCCGAAAAGACTGTATATTCCATGATGTGTGCGAGAGATGTACCACATTGCAAGATCTATTCAACGATCGTAGCTTTGATAAAGGAAACCCTTATTTGATTCAATTTTATGTATTTGTTGATTAGATTTCATTTGTAGATGTCATATGCCTTTTGATTAATGAATTGATTTGTTTCCAAAAAAAAAAAAAAGAACATGTCATTACAAAATATATATATATATATATATATATATATATATATATATATATATATATACCCCCAAGTTTTTTTTTTTATCAACCATATACCCCTGAAATTTTTCAAATTCATAGATACCCATGATTTGTTATAAAAATTCACCATGTACCCTTAACAACAACAAAATCAGTGGAATTTGGTTTATTATGCATCGAAACCACCTTAGATCTCTCCTCCCCATCCCCGAAACCACTCTTCTCCTTTCTCCAACCCCCGAAACCACTCCAAATCTCCATAACCATATCTATATGATTGATTTTGAGGATAAGAAAAGGAAATTTGGGCTGATTGTGGGGGTGAAAAAAGAAATGTGGGTGGTTTCGGGGGTAGGGGAATGTATTTAGGGTGATTTCGGGTCATAATTAACCCTAATGACTGATGAAGT